ACAGCTTTAGCCCTTTTTTCTTTGCTCTGAGAAGCTCCCAGATGTTCATGTCCCCTGCCCCACCGTGTGGCTCTTGTTTGCAGAAAGCCTAGCCAGGGCCAGGAGGCATCTGGCACAGGGGAGAGCTGAGCCCCAGTTCAGGGGCTGTCCCCACTGCCACAGCCATGGACTGGCCCTAGAGGAGTCCCTGCTTGCCTGAGATGGGGCTCGGAGCAGAGGCTCGCCCGCCACCTCTGCTCTCCTCACCGGATTGCACATACTAACCTGCACCAGGCTTAATGGCCACTGGATTGACCGCAGGTAACTCCAAGTTGGGTACCAGCTCGTATCCTTTCTCTTGCTGTTTTCCTTTGCCTTCATGGTACCTGCTGTAGATGCCACGTCCGGCGGAGTATCCCCCCAGGTAGGAGCCCCTGGGGCCTGGGGCTCTGTTGCCAGCTGCACCTCGCCCTCTGCCTCGTATGCTGCCTGCTTATGATAACAACACAGAAGAGGATGGTGAATAAGGGAGAGTGACAGCCTTGTGGGCAGGATGGATGACCCCAGGCTGAGATCTGGAAGCATGTGCTTAAAAATGAGGCTGCTGAAGTTAGCTCCATCTGAGTCTTAACGACCTTACTGAGGGAAACAGAAGAGTTTGGACTTCGAAGCACCCAGTAAGAATACGCAAGTTTTGCTCCTGATGTTTCTGACCACACATTAACTTCTTATTTATACTGATGCAACTCTTGTGGCCAGTGTTATGGGTACCATGCACTCACAAGAGAGAAAGAGGCTCCTCCAGGAGCAGTAGGAACAGCTTTTGCTCTCAAGCCTCCTCCAGAGGAGACCCAGCCCCTCAGCTGGCCATGATGGGACCCTGCAGAAACGACCTGAAGTTGTACCTGGCCTTTAATAAACTTTGTCCCAACATTGCATAGATTTTTCACTAGTGCTGTTTGTTTTCTTGGCTATTTTATTATTAAATTTCAGGAAACTATAATTCCTGTGAGTATAGGATAATTGTAATACCATTATAGCTGCTAGGTGTTTTTGTTTTTATGACAACTGAATTTTGGTTAATTTTTAATGACTGCAACCAATAACCAAAGGGTACATAATGAAAAATTATTTCATATTCATCTGATTCCTTCTGCTCATAGTTCTCAAATGATTTTATAAAGGACAGAGCATTACTAGGTGGGTGTTGGGCTCTTCTTCCAGGTAACTAGTGATAGGATGAGAAGAAATAGGGTTAAGTTATGCCAGGGGAGGTTTAGGTGGGATATTGGGAAGAGTTTCTTTACTGAAAGAGCAGTGAAGCATGGGGAAAAGCTGCCCTGCCGGTGGGGAGGCGGGTTGGAGTTACCATCCCTGAAGGTGTTCAAAAAATGTGTGGGCATGGTACTTCAGGACATGGTTTAGCAGTTATGGTAGTGTTGGGTTGATGGTTGGACTTGATCTTAGAGATCTTTTCCAACCTTAATGGTTCTATGATTCTTTTTTTTTTTAATGTAGTGGGCAAAAGACACCCAGAGAGCTCCCAGCTGAGGCTTTCCCTGACATCCCTCCCTTTGGATGACCAAGTCACAATATCCACATCTCCAGGGGAAGGCAAAGGGAACACTCTGTCATGATGTTTAGTACTTAGCAACAAGCTCTTTGAAGGAGGCATCAGAAGCTGGAATCCGTGGACTTGCTCAGACTTAGTACAGCACTCATAAACCCCAGATCCCTCTCTTCCCCATCCTGCGCTTAGTCTGCTAGTTCATTTTAACCATATTTTTTATGCCTCTCTCATACTAGCCTGCACATTAGTAATTTTTTTTCTAGATAAATACACTATGTATGGTCATAAATTATAATGAAACCAAACAGAAATATGGCAAAGAGATCTATAAAAGACTGTTTAAGAAAAAAATGCACTGCACCATCTATCCTTTAGCTCAGGCAGATCTTGGGTAGCATCAGCCTGAGATGAAACCTGCCCATCACATCCCCTAATCGTGCTTACTAACCTTTCACAAAGTAATCTCTGTTGGGCCCAATCAAGGCATTGTACGGATAGCCGTAATATGCTAGCGTGTATGGATCGCAAGAGTAAACATAGCTAGGTTGCTGAGTTACGTCAGGGGTTGCCGCAGCCCCTCCTTTTGCTGCTTTCTGGTAGCGTGTGTATTGCTCCTTGTCTACCGGCTTGGCCAAGGTAACCTCCAGACACGACCCTTCCAGTTCGACCCCATTAAGGTTGTTCATGGCGTGAATGGCATCTTCCCTGGTTGTAAAGTGCACAAAGGCGTAGTCACGTATTTTTTTCACCCGCTCTACACAGCCAGGGTTAAACTGCCCAAAGACCTTTTTAATGGTGTCCTCAGTGGTCTCAATCATTAAATTCCTCACATAGAGGATTTTAACCGTCTCCATGACATCTTCATCTACATCTATCTCCGGTTCCGCCCAGTCAACAGCAATTTGATGTCCCCACAGCTGGATCCTTCCTGGCATGAGTTTCCTCCTGGCCATTGCCGCTGCTCGATGACTCTCGTATTCCACGAAGGCAAAGCCTCTGTTCTTCATCTTGTCTGCAGCACTGGCATACACGATGACATCCAGCACGCCTTCCGTCACCTTGGCGATCTCTTCCAGGATCTCCTCTCTCTTCTTCATCTTGGGAATGCCTCCGATGAAGAGCCGGCAGTTGTCCACGCTGCAGCACACACCCAGCAGCCTGCCGGGGCGGATTTCGTAGTTGTTCAGCTCCCTGACGGCACGCTTCGCCTCGTGCTTCTGTGTGTACATCACGAAGGCGTAGCCACGGTTCTTCCCATCAAAGTCCATCATCAGCCGCATTTCGTAAATGCGGCCAACGGACTCAAACACGGGCACGAGCTCATCTTCATAGACGTCACGGGGGATTTTTCCCACGAAGACCTCACAGCCACGAGGAGGGTGCAGGCCCTCCCAGCCAGGAGGAGGGCCGCCGTACTTGCGTTGCCCGTTCTCCTGGATCATGCTGTATCCGGTGCGCTCCATCAGGGCCAGCAGAGCTGCCTCGTTGGGTGCACCAGCAACGCCTTCGGGGACTTTTGGGGTGGTCACGTTGGAGGAATCGTTGCTCATCCTTGCAGTGGAGTCCTCAGCAGTCATGGTGTCAAACTCATTCACAGCCTGATAAAGCCTGAGTAAAGGAAGAAGGAGGACACTCGTTAGAAGCTGTTCGCTACCACCAGAGCCCTACCCCTCTCTATTGTCTTACTGTAGTTGTTCTGCAAGTTAATTTTTCAAACTGGGACTAAGGCCGCAGAAAAGCAGATCAATGAGCCACATCAGCCTGAACATTGATGCTACAGGAGGAGCACACCCTGAATGTAGGCAGAGCCCCCCTGAGGGGGTGGTTGAGGATCACCTGCCTATACCACCTCAGCACCAAGAGCTGCTGCCGCAGGACACTGAAGTCACAGGATTGGATGCCACCAAGCACCCCAAAACCTGAAGACCCTAGAGAGGCTTGTCTCCTCTTCAAAAGGGTAAGAAGGAGCTGATAGAGGATTGGGAAAGGGAAGATATTGCCACAAAACCAGTGGTCCCCCTCTCCAGAGCCCTCTCTTCCCCCTCAGTCATTCCTCAGTTAATCCATCTAATCCCGAACAGCGTGAGTGCCAGGTGCCATACTCCATTGTGAAAGATGGCAAGTGCACACGAAGCACCAGGCACAGTTTTCATCTGATAACAACCCCTTGCTCCTCTAGGCCTTCACAGTAACTGTTGAGTAGGAAGTAAATATGCTTTAGCATCAGGGGGATCCAATTCTTGTTCTCTTGTGCAAAGGGCAATCTGGCAATCTTCTGAGTTGCCTGCTGCACAGTGCACAATGCAGGCACACAGTAGGAGATGACCATGCTAATGACTACAGCTGCATGGCAGTGGGCTTCCTCTTTGAGCACAATTAATTAAGACACTTTGGGACTCTGACAGTAGTTAACTCACTGACTTTTAAAGCTGAAAAGGCCCATCAGACCATTTAATACAAGCGATTGCATATGACAGGGGCTGTTACACTCTATTTTATTTGGACATTGAGTTCTGTAACATTTATCTGACTAAATCTTATCTTCCAGAAGGACCTCAGTTTTAAGGAATCAAAGAGCTGTAGACCCCACCACTTCCCTGTATGGCTTCTTTAATCAATGCCTCAGACAAGCAAGTGTGCTGTATTTCTCTTAAGAATTTGTCTAATTTGTGCTTCCAGCCAGGAGTATTAGTTAAACCTTTTTCTAGTAGGCTAAAGAGTATTTCAAGACTACTGCTTTTGCCTTATGATGATATTTAAGTTGTGTAATTAAGCCACAACTCTGTTTCTTTAATAAAAATTGAAGGCTGAGCTCCTGAATTCCCTCACAATCAGTCTTTTTTTTTTCACCTAAAATTGTTTTTTTGACTTTTTTCAACACTTCTCTAGACTTTCAGTCTTTTTTGCCCTTGCTATATACAGGGATGAAGACCATCCCTCTTTCTTCTCCCCATATCTCTGTATCTGTTTCTCCACATCTTCTCACTAGCAAACTATATGGAGTTTTTTTGTCAATTCTAACCCCAAATCCTTTCCTGAAGCACCATGTGCTGGGGTTATGCCCCACGTGACAGGAATGCTTTGTGTTTGTTATTCCTGAATGCCACAAATTTGCCCTTGTTCAGCCCTATCGCAAGTGCCTTTTGAGTAGATCCCACCTCCTGAGTACTGCACCATTGGCTCCTCCTGGAGTTTTTTACAACTCCATGAGCTTTTGCATCGCTGATCTATTTGACTTGATTTGCATTCATGGCCAGTTTGTTGATGAACTGTCAAAAAATACTGGCTCCTGTAGGAAACTCTGCAAACCACCATAAGAAATGCTCCCAATCTGGTCTTGACAGGCTAATTTTTTTTAAACAAAGCACACAGCTTCAGCAAGATTTATTTATTCTATGTAGCTGTGTTATTCCGTGGGACACAGGTTTCTCTTTGTCCCACAAAAACTCTGATATATATTTGTTAGAACACTTTGGCCATTTTCAGTGCACAAAGGAAAAGTCTGACTTGTATGGGCCACAAAACCCATTTAAATCCTTAGCATCTCAGATTTTTTTTCAGTAAAGCTCCTGAGCTGCCCAGAATTGTACTGGTCTGTATCCAGAGATGCCTTTGCACCAGCCAGGGCAAACACTGGTTCAGCTCCTAAATGTTTTTGGGACTGGGAAACCAGACCTCTAAGCCCCGGTCTGTGGTGGGGCCTGATCCTGCAGCTGTATTTGGGCCATGGGTGGTACATGATGATGCTTCTGAGCCATTTTAATTTAAAAACATAGAGAGCAGAGGGGGAGGCAGAGAAGGTGGAGAGCAGTAACAGTGATGCTGATGCCCAGGCAACAGTTCAGAAAATATAATTTCTTTGAAGCCAGGTCATTCATTGAAGTGCATCAGTTTTGGTTTTGATAGCTTGCTTTAAAACATGTTTCTCTCAGATTCACGTTCCCCCTTTTTAATGTGTCACAGTCAGACATTTTCATTTTACTCCTGGGAATTATTTGACATAATTTTAAAAATTAAGGCAGAGAAAAACATTTTCCTTTTTCACTTGGCAATTCATTGCTAAAAATGTGACTTTACCTTTCTCTGAATGAAAGAAGAGCTTGTTAAACAAACACCTTTCCAGGGTATAATCATTACCTTTACATAGGCCACCTGTTGGCAAGTGAATTACTTATTGACTCTGATTTGGGTCAGTTTAGGAATGAGTCATTCCCATCAGTTTTAGGTCAAATTAGAAAACTAAAGTCTCTGTATTCTGTTATCTGCAGGGCTCAGTTGCTGGGGCTATAGTCTAGAAAGCTACAGATGGGCACTGGGACTGTGGAGAGAGGAGAGATGAAGCAAAGCCTGCCCTTCCCACCAGAAACTAGCTGGCAATTCAGTGGCTGTCCAGGAACTGGCATGTTCTCCAGCACTTTGCATTGCATCAGCAGGATGCTTTCTAGTATTCAAAACTGTACTTGAAGCTGCTGCTAAGTGCTGATGGCCACCTTTGCTACAAACACTACCATCACAAATGGTGGTTCATGATAATGAATAATTAAAAATCCATTGTGAATCTCAAATACATTTATCCCTATTTGATTTATTGAAAATCAAGATTCAAATGTTTTAGATTTTTTTTTTCTGTGCAGTTCCACATAGCTGGATCTCATAAGTAATACTTCACAAGACAATTATAGGACCTGTGTAGTCCTACCTGATGTGGCTAAATACACACTTAACAACATTCATTGCTACATGACACAATCAACACCCTCACAAAGTTCAAATATCATCTACCTGCATGAGAAAAAACACTGGCATCTGGTCTGAGTGCTCTCTCCTCCTGTTGTTACTGCCTTACAAAACGGGCTGCCAACACAACCTAACCTTTTCATGTTGAAAAGCAAACACTCTCAGGAAAATTGTTTTCAAAACCACCTATTTCTAAAGAGTTCAACCTTACTTGTGCATTTTTTTAGTTATGAAAACTTGCTAACATGTGTGGCTCTTGTAAACAAGGCATGAGCTAATACTGTGGTTTATTTGCCTTAATAAAGCCAGACTGATTTCAGTACATCCACCAAGTGTGATTAGTGCTAGAAGAGGCAAAAATTTAAGCTATACTACAATGTATTGTCTTGTGAAATATAAGCTCTTGATTTCTAGTTTCTGAGAATGATAGTACACCTCATCTCAACAAAGGTTTGTAAAAGAGAGACAGACAAAAATATTAATTGCTAATAAGATAGGTTGTGCTCTAGAGACAACTAAGTTTTAAATGATTATTTATCAGGACTGAAACAAAGTTGGCCGTGTTTCTTCTAAGAAAAAAGGCAAAGCCTGCCTGGTTGTCCAGCACCACACTAGATGGATGCCAATGTCAGCCAGCCTACCAGAAGCCAGGCATGTGAGCCCTTCGGTTCAGCATCTCTGCTCCAGGGACCCTCCCTCTTTGAAGTGAGCTCTCTGATATACACATTTCACTGAAACCATTCAAATTTCACATCCTCTTGCTTACAGAACTTCTTCCCTGCTGCCAATTGGATGGGTGTAAGTAGGCCTTGCCCTAAACATTAATTATTTTCTTTCCAACTTATCTTTTTTTCGCATCATAGCTCAGCCTATTAAATGGGAAACTTACTGTGTTGGCAGTGACTGATCTAAAGCATGCTGTGAGCAGGCTGATTAACTGAGGCAGATCTTTTATTAAATAAATACCACTCCTTGATTAACAACAACACAGGGCCAAACACTCATGTCCCTTTTTCCAGGGCAAAGGCAGCTCGGGGCTCCACTGAGAAATGCCCACAGTCTGTATAGCATCTTATCCCTGGGCTTGGCCAGCACTGGGCAGTGCCCTGTGAAGTCACACAGCCACTGTTCCTCTGCTGATCCCAGCCATTATAAACACAGAGACCCAGCTGGTGTCCTTGTGGCTGCAACCATGTGTCCCCTCCACTCACGTCCTCCTATAAAATGGGGTTGTTTATGTTTGTGTTTGATTCATCCCTGCAGTGTTGTGTTCCATAGATTTCATGGCATCATGTGTCCTTCTGTGGGTGACACAGCTGCTGGCAGTCATATAGCATGGGGATGGGTGCCAGCACCACAGCAAGCAGCAGCAGAGCCCAGGGAGACCTGCTGGCTCTCTGATAACCAGAGGGAGGAGGGGATGGGGACATCCGCATCACCTGCAGACCCTGGAGCGTACAAACTCCCGCTGAGCTGGCTCAGAACGTCCTCACGGACACCACGCAGCCACCTGCTTGCTTTAAGGAACCACCGCGGCCTTGCGTTTTGTCTTTTGTAGAGAGAAGGTCTGTTGCTGAAATTTTAACTAAATACATCCTGTTGACAGAGGAAAATAACTACTGGTGTAAATATGTCCTTCCTAGGGTTTTAGGTGAAACAATGAGGACGAATGGTAATCCTGCTGCTGACATTGAGCAGCAGCTCTGGAAGCACGGCACTGTTAAAGCTATTTATTTTTAAAAGCTGACTTTTCTTACGGCAACTTTAGATACATAAAATTTATATAACAACCCCAGCTTACTGAGAACAACTATCACTCTTTCACAAACATTGGATAGCCAGAGAAATGCTCTTGCTGAAA